AGACGAGTATTGATATAGCCTACTGTCTCTCAACTGACAGTTCACTTCCGGTCTTACGACAAGATTACCTTAACGAGGGTAGACTACTGTACCACACACAAGGTTACAACACACTCCGAGTAAACATCAACACCTGGTAAATTCACTAAGAGGCGGTTACTAATTCTCCTTAATTAGCTACGAGTGTTTAATCCCTCTGTCCGCATACAGATCTGATCAGTCCAACGAATTACAGCAGCTTAATTACAGCGCAATTGACTCCGATCATAATAGACCGGTCAACCTCTTACGTTAATCAATCAATTAACGACAGCTCGTTAAATCGTTAACACTACGTTAGTCTTCACTTGACAATTCCTCCACTGCGTGAACTTCACTGTGACTGTTGCCTTTACACGTCTCTACGTTAATCACAACAATGTTCAACGAAACAAGTGACCTCGTTAAGTCAATTGTGACCCCCGGTGACGTTAAATGACTTTAATTCTCACGGAATCCTTCACAGTACACAACGCATTCCACCAAGGACAAACTTGTCTACGGTTTACACACGGTACAACACAGTACATCACAGTACATCCTTGCCACTCACGGCAAAACTTGTAAATGACTTCCCCTGTAAATTATCTACCAATAATTCACACTTTACCACAACACATCAGTAAAATAAGCGCTGGCCAATATAATAATGGAAATTATTTATAACCAAGGGAAACCTCCCTATTACCACTTTCACTGCTGAAAAAGGGGAATCAAATTACAGCAAATTACATACACGACACATAGAGCAAATGGAAACAAGTAAACTCACTTTACTCCACCACTGAATGTGTCTCTAGGTGTCCTCACACACGTCAAACTCACAGTTGGGCTCAACCTCAACTTGGTGACGGCAAACAGGGTAAACTCACACGTCTCCAATTCCCATTCACCTCACTAGGTGGTCGACTTGGGACAGAGGACAGACGGAGCACTGAGGGCGAAACCAGCTTCAGAGCTTTATTACCCAAAATGGAAACAGTGTACTTACATCAATCTCGCGGGCCCGCCACACACTCACTCACATACACGTCACCCACACTCCCACTGCTGCTGCTGGATGATGACGTAGGCGTCCTCACTTCCTACACGTGGTCAGTTGGAGCACAGGGTCCTAGACCATGGGGTTAGCTCCACACACAGAGACCAGGTGGTGTGAACACGCCAGCATAGGCAGACCAGGGTGCATGCACAACAGATCACACAGCGAGGATGCGGTACCACACCCATCCACTTGACACGGTACCCCAGGATACGACGGTACACGGTGTTACACGAGACGGAGTCCTTCACTGTTCCTTTCTAATTCCTCGGAATTAGGAGTTTTAAGGTTTCTCTAATAACACTGAAACCTTCTCTAGCACGTCTCACTGCAGTACCTTCAAGCACAGATACGATAAACGGCGGATGTCACTAACCTAGGCCGATAATTAACAGCCTCACTCAGTCCAGTTGCTCTGAGATGGCGTCTCACAAATCACGCGGCTTAGATGACAAAAGTTCACACTGGTTCGGTGCATGCACCTTTCCGATCTACCGGATTCTTACGGACGGCACACGGAAAGATAGCAAGATGATAGGCGTGACTTTAGTAACGTTGCAGGTGGTATTTTCCGATGCCTGGCCTAGCACGGGAAAGTACGTCCTCCCATAGCAACGTTCTAGGTAAGAATAATTTTTTCCCGCCAAACGGCTCCGGGGTATCCCATGCAGCACCCCTCAGCGTCCTGACCAGTCACAGTTCAACATTCCTGAGGCCCAGGAGCCTTGGCCAATGGCGCACCTGCCTCACGACGCTACCCCCCTCTCTCACGAGGTGTACACGTGATAGGGGGTGGTGGTCTACAGCCGTTAACCCCCCATACCTCCCTCTCTACACTTGACTTGTACAAAAAATTTCCCTGAAATCAACTCCCTCCTGTAATTTCCTTCACAGACCTGATACAGCGATCAGAATGACATCAATGGCTAGCAAATGCCACGGGCTGTCCAACGACACCCAACACGATTGTGGAAAAGTTATGTTCAGAAAGTTGAATCACGATGCACATCACTGGTGCACTATGCAATTTCGTACTTCATTCAGTGCACGAGAGAGCAGAGAAAAATATGTCTCCTGACAACATTAAAGGAGCATTCGACAAAGCACAAGGGATTGCGATCCTGGACGAGCTTGCATGCATGGGTATCAAGGGGAGACTCATGAAATGGGTTCACAGACAGGAAAGCCAAGGTTTGCTTCAATGAAGCAGTCTCCAGAACAATGAATATGGAACTCGGGAACCCCCTAAGGCGGAGTCTTAAGCCCTACACTATTCAATGTACTTATGAACGCCATTGCAAATATTGATTTTCCAGAAGGAACACAACAAGTGGGATATGCAGATGATGTCGTAATATAAGCTCCCACCTCGGGAAAAATTGAACAGTCCATTGAACTCCTTGGAAGGAAATGTATTGAGCTCGGTTTCACTCTCTCCACAAACAAGACGAAGGCATACTCCCATCACAAGCGGAGAGCAAATGAAGAACTGCAAATTAATGGTGTAACACTTGAATGGGTTGTCCACTATCTGTACCTTGGCGTCACTGTCGGCTCTAACAAGGGGAAGAAAGAGGAGCTCAATCAACTCATAGGAACATGCAAAAGTCGACTCAGGGCACTGAAAGCTATGACCTGGAATGGACATGGAGCCTCTATTGCCGTGCTTAAAATGATGTACACAGCCTATGTGCGCTCCGTCATAGACTATGCCGCACCAGTTCTGTGCACCTTCTCCCAAAGCGATATGAAAAGGCTTGAAAGCATTCAAAATGAAGCCATAACAATCATTCTTGGAGTTCCAAGAACTGCCGAAACGTCTAATCTACGAGAGGAGTTGTCCCTCCCCAGTGTTAAAAGAGAATTAAGGAACTAAATGCTAAGCTTGCAATTAGGATAGCCAGAGATCCCCATTATCCCCATATTGCTAAGAAAAAACTGAGCTCTGTGCTACTTTCAGGGGGAAACAGGAGAAGCAAAAAATGGCATCACAGATCAGTCTGCTACCTCGAAGAGCTACACCTGCTTGAGCAAGCTCGTGAGCTCCTGCCTGTAGAGAGGTTACTTCCCTTGGAGGATGACTCATGCAAGATTATCATCAATGAAATAGCAATGAAAAAATTCAACATGTTACCACAAGAAATGAGGCACAAGTATCTCGAGGAAATTTATAAAGAAGCCGGAGATGAACTAGATCAAATCTACACTGACGGGTCATCTAATCTTGTCAATGGAAGGGCTGGTGCAGCATACACGGTAATCAAGGATAATACTTTCCAATGCAGAAATGAAGAAAAAGCGCGTACTGAGAACTTTGCCTCTTCAACGCAAGCAGAGCTAAATGCCATTGTTATGGCGTTAAGCTTTCTTGAACGGAACACCAATGGTGCAGTGATTTGCACCGATTCAAAGGCAGCACTGCAAAGCATAAGTAAAAATCGGGCAGAAAATCTTGCAATAGTCGCTGAAATTAAGAGAGCTGTGAGAGTACTTACCAATCAGGGAAGTCATCAAGTTTCTGTGGATCCCCTCCCATGTTGGAATATGTGGGAATGAGCTGGCAGATGTGCTGGCTGCTGAAGGCGCTGAAGGAGACCATATTGAATACTTCATACCCAAGACTCTACTACAAATTAGAGGTATTGTCAGGCAACATCACCGTGACAAGGTAACTGAGGAAAGGAGAATAGAAGCACAAACCAGTGAATCTGTACGATGGTACAACATGGTTGCAGCTGGCAATCCCAATCATTATGGCCGAAGAGGAGGAGGAGGACGAGGGAGAGAATTAGTAATAGTGAGAATCCATCATTGATACAAATATCCATGGAGATATGGAATGGAAACAACAGTTGATCAGCGAAGTTGCAGAATCTGTAGTGAGAGTGATGGACACCGCCTTGACTACTATCTACGTGAATGTGAACACCTGAGAGACATCAGATATACGTGTAGAATAATAAACCCCACATTGAGTTAGGAAAACACTTTGTCAAATATTGATACTGTTCTTAAAAGATTTCCCCATTTTGCACCGCAAGATAACGTAAGCTTTTAAGGGTTGACAAATATTAATCTTGTTTGAGGAGCTGTTCACTTGAGACAGTTAAGCAAGTCCCAGCTGTGTCTGGGTTCAAGTGACAGGATGAACAACCCAGCGGGTTTTCTTCCTATTGGGGAGTGTTATACATGCTGCTATGGTGGTGTGTCCACTCACAAGATGAGTGGCGCTGCCCAATAAATTCGCCCCTCGGGGCAAAATTTAAAAAAAAAATATTCAGAACATTTGCTCTCATATTGATCGTTTGTCATATTTCGTCGGGGTCATGGCTCTCCTTCCGGGCTCTAGCGATGAATTATCCTACACTTCATTCTCAGTTTTATTAAAATATGCGTGTATTATCCACCAAAACACACATCCAACATACACACCCATAAAAAACAGAATTTTAACCATGCCAAACATGTTCTAATATGTTAGAAAAATCTCCAAACCACAACACCAGTCCAACCAGTGCCCTAACCTAACATGACAAAAACTTTGTTCATTTTTTGGAATGCCATGTTGAGCAGGATGGAGGGGGGGGGGGAGGAATGACACAGTCTAATGGCTCCCATAACAAATTTTTTCTGTGTCGCCCTTGAGACTACTCTGCTTCACCACCAAGGTAGTCCAGTACATACGCCATAACTACCATGGGAGTCCCAGACCAAGTGCTTTACTACTAATAATTAATAATTTTATTAGGAAACGGGACAGGAATTGACAACATTGAATTATATTCAGGTTGTGTTCACGATAGTCAGAACTGGTTGCTTAAATGAAGAAACATTATACTGTGCAGTGTTCTTGTTCACCTGTGAGTGTTCAAGCGGGGGCTGAGCAGGTGAGGCAGGACCGAAGAAACAGCTAACTACGTTGTAGTTAATGTTTATTAATAACCTCAACAATTATTAACTGAAATACTGGTAACACTTTACGCATTTATTATAAACTTTATCTTTTTATTTGTGACGTTTTTTGTTGTATATATGATTTTTAAAACTGCTCTCTTGATAGAATATAACATAAGTTATCAAGTTAATAGTCCTTGGGTACAAATCCTAGACTTTTTTTTTATATATCTAACAGTTCAGATTTTGTACTGAAATATATAGAGTTTAATGACTCAGCAGACACAATATCCAAGTCTATTCCAATGCTTGGACGCCCAGCTGGCACAGGAAGGGCCACATATCATGACAGACGTCGTTATATAATCGCACCCTCAAGACGAATTCATCAACAGAAACCATGAAGACGCAGTTCTCATCATCGCCAGTTGTTGGGTATCCGGCTTTCCAGTAATGACCCGTGAGGTCTACGGGGCGTCCATCCACCCACGACCAGTAGTCCTGGAAGTTTAGTTTAGAGGCGCCCACCCAAAAAGGTGCCAGACCTGAGGGAGAGAAGGTGCCGAGGGAAGAACCGCTGTCATGGAGGCTGGTAGTGTGACAGTGTCTAAGTGTTTAGAATACTTCACTGCACATTTAAAATGTTTATCTGAACAGAACAAAATTTTTGAAAAAGATGAAAATTAGACTCCAAATAAGTCTTAAATAATTGAAAGTGAAAATTATCGGAGAAGCATAGTATACATTCAGCAATACAACTTTGGAATGGATAAATTAGTTATTACATTCAATCCTTGGATTATGGATTAGACACAGTAACAGAGTAAATTGCAGTGTGATAATTACAAATCCATATTTGCAGAAGACCTATTGACCCATATGAGGAAGCTTCTATTTATATCCACCCACACACATTCATATATATGTATGTCTAACGCTCGCTTCAAACAGTGATTACTACGTTACCAAGCAATTTGCTACAAAAATCAACAATCATGTTTCCAAACCAGTATCTACCCAGGTCGTTCCTAAATCTAAACTTATCCAATTTATATCCATTATTTCCAGTACTATTTTGAGTTGACATATTTAAATCCTTATTAATATCTCCCTTGTTATACCTTTTCATCAATTTATATAGTTGAATTATTTTAGCACTTAATATAAAATATGTTAAGTTTTTCTAATTTCTCATCATAAGGAAGGTTTCAATTTCCTGGAATTAATTTAGTCATCTCTGTACATGTTCTAATGAATGTTTGATCATTCTATAGTGTGGCGACCACAACTGAACTGTACGAGCTCAATGTTCAAGTAATTGTCATCAGAGGAGCCAGGCGGTAAGATCAGAGGAGCCAGGCGGGAAGATCAGAGGAGCCAAGCGGGAAGATCAGAGGAGCCAGGCGGGAAGATCAGAGGAGCCAGGCCGGAAGATCAGAGGAGCCAGGCGGGAAGATCAGAGGAGCCAGGCGGGAAGATCAGAGGAGCCACAAGGGAAGATCAGAGGAGCCAGGCGGGAAGATCAGAGGAGCCACAAGGGAAGATCAGAGGCGCCAGGCGGGAAGATCAGAGGAGCCAGGCGGGAAGATCAGAGGAGCCAGGCGGGAAGATCAGAGGCGCCAGGCGGGAAGATCAGAGGAGCCAGGCGGGAAGATCAGAGGAGCCAGGCGGGAAGATCAGAGGCGCCAGGCGGGAAGATCAGAGGAGCCAGGCGGGAAGACTATGTTGCGATATAGATCTGAAAAGTTACATCAGGTTCTTGGCTTTGTTTAGTGTTGGATTTAAACCCTTTCAACCTCTTTAGGGTGTCAGATTCTCCAAATAAATGTGAAATCTGCAAAAGCAGATTTCTAATTTGTTTTGGAAACTGATCAGTAACTCACAGTATTTAACTTAAAAGTAAACTAAGAAAAACTGACAATTTTTTCACATCTTGAAGATTTGCCCATTGTCACCCCAGCACTACACCATATTAGCGACAACCATCTCCATTATCTTCCAATGCCAACCACCACAACTACTCCCACCAACACTTCAGCCAACCACCACAACCACTCCCACCAACACTACAACCTTCTACCACAACCACTCCTACCAACACTACAGCCAACCACCACAATCACTCCCACCAACACTACAACCAACCACCACAACCCCTCCCACTACCACAGCAAACTACTCCTACCACCACTCCCACCAACACCACAGCCAACTACCATCATCAGCACCACAAACAACCACAACACAATAACTCCATAACAGCATTACTCCCACTAACACCACCCCAACACACACACATGGACATTCCAATAAACCCATTATCAACACAATCACTACAAGCATTGTGCCACTGTAACAACAACAGTAGAACTACCGTTGGAGATGACGTAGGATTTTATTTTCAGGAAGTCGTCGTAGTAGGTGTCCATGACGACCAGGTCGGCGTCTTCCTCCGGCAGGAGATTTTTGCAAGTCGTTCGTGCCTCTTGCCACGTCATGAAGGTCTCACTGTAGTAGTAGCAGCCCTCCCCGATCATGAAGAAGGGCGCTGGGCAGGCGTCTGCACCTTCATCTGCACCCACAGTCAGTGCATACTCCACTTCCGTTTCAAGTCTTAGGTTTGGATTGGTTATTTGTTTGAATGTTATAATAATAGTAATATAAGTTAGTAATAAGTGTTAGATTTCACTTTAAAGCATCAAGTTAATGCACCACGAGGTACTAAGGTATAGTTTGGTAACGAAGTCTTTAAAAGGATTAAACAAAATTGATAAAAGCTATTGCGATGCAAGATTTTCGTGATATTCCCGAACATAAGATAAATTAATGTGAAGAACCTTTATTTCTTGTGAGAAGCGAACAACAGTTTGGGAAGCTGCAATTGGCAAGGGTGTGAAGCCCCAGCTGGAGAGTTCCCAGGCAGCAGCGGGTGACGCAAGATCACTTCCAAGACAACAATAAAACTGGCTCTCTCGTGTAGTTAAGGGACAGCCAGCCACTCTTACGAGACCCAGATACGTCGACAGGCGGCGCTTCCTTCCTGTCAGTCTTACACGACCACAACACTGAGCCGACACCCTCGTCCAAGGCAACGTCCAGCCGCCTCTACTAACCGAGGTCATCACCACTCGAGGTCACCATCACCTGAGGTCACTATGTTTGTGACAGTGCTGCTGGTCATCAGCCTCCTGACACAGATGGATGCTGGTAAGAGTGTCAGAGTAAAGGGATGTTGACAACCTCTTGAGGTCATGCCTAGGCATGACATGTCACCATGTCATGCCAGTGATCCTGGTTACTGGCCTCATCAAACACTACTTTCACTTCTGGTGCCCTGTGCAGCTTAATGTTAGAGGGTTTTGTGCCACATCCTTACATTAATCTGTTTTTTCCTTATTATAATTAATGGCAAGATAGTAAATATTGTTTAAGAAATATGGTGAGTTAGCTGGTTGGCTGGGTTAAGTTGTTCCTGTCTCCAGGAAACACTTAACTCGACCAGGAACCTCCCTCACATGCCAGCCAACCCGTCATATTTTCCTAACAATATTTACTATCTCCCCACTTTGGCTAACACTGCCATTACTTATGATAATAAAATAACATATTAATCTAAGGATGTGGGTCAAAACTATCTAACGTTAAAAATGCTAAAGAATAATGCCAATGAACTACAAAACTTGCTATGGTTGGTTAGCCTGGGACACAGCTGCCGCTCTCACCATGCGGGCAAGAACTGGACCTGTCCAAAACTGCTGGCCACATCCCTGACCACCAACCGCTGGTACAAATGGAATACAATGATTGTATAATGCAATATGCATCTACACAATCATAATGACATAATTTAACATTAAACTGCAATTGAATCTTTACTACTCAATAAATATAATAATAATGAATGTAAAATCAAGTTGGCAAGGTATCACGGAAAGCAAGAATTATTTTAGTTATTGAGTTAGGATCCAGTTTAATTACTGTGGGTGCAGGTGAAGGTGCTGACGCCTGCCCAGCGCCCTTCTTCATGATCGGGGAGGGCTGCTATTACTACAATGAGACCTTCATGACGTGGCAAGAGGCACGAACGACCTGCAAAAACCTCTTGCCGGAGGAAGACGCCGACTTGGTCGTCATGGACACCTACTGCGACGACTTCCTGAAAATAGAATCCTACGCCATCTCCAACGGTAGTTCTACTGTTATTGTTACGGTGGCACAATGCTTGTAGTGATTGTGTTGATAATGGGTTTATTGGAATGTTCGTGTGTGTGTTGGGATGGTGTTAGTGGGAGTAATGCTGTTGTGGAGTTATTGTGTTGTGGTTGTTTGTGGGGCTGGTGGTGGTAGTTGGCTGTGGTGATGGTGGTGGGAGAGATGTTGGTTGGCTGTAGTGTTGGTGGGAGTGGTTGTGGTGGTTGGCTTTGTAACGTACGTTTATGTTACGTGTTTGGGTAGATTAGATACACATTGTTTAGTGAGTTTTCATATTTATTTAGTAGTCTTGATTACAGTAGTCGGTTGATGGCATTGTCGTAAACGTTCAGACGGAGCTTGGAGCAGAGCAGAGAGCTGAGTGAGGCCGGAGTCGCGGAGCTCTATGTGCGAGAGCGTGGCGGCTCGATTGGGAATGGCTAGCGTCTGAACTCGGGGAGCGAGAGCGTTGTAGCTCGATGCGGTCGTAGTCTGCTGCCTGCTCTGTGTCGAAGTTGTAGCGTCTTGGGTTGATTAGAACTGTACACACCGAGTCCTACATTGTTGACTGTGGAAATTGTACTGTCCTCTATTCCTCATATCGCTTGCTTATATGGTGACTACACCTCCGCTGCCTCCAACAAGATGAGAAGAGTATTACCTGTAATTGGGGAAAGGATTGTAGCTTCTGTAATTAGTGCTAATTAGTTATGCTATTAAGATAATGAGATAATGGAGCGAGTATAAGATTAACTCGCTACAGCTTTATTGTTGGTGGGAGTGGTTGCGGTGGTTAGCTGTAGTGTTGGTGGGAGTGATTGTGTTGGGTGGTTGTAGTATTGGTTGGAGTGGTTGTAGTGTTGGTGGGAGTGGTTGTGGTGGTTGACAGCAGTGTTGGTGGGAGTGGTTGTGGTAGTTGGCTGTGGCATTGGAAGATAATGGAGATGGTTGTCGCTAATATGATGTAGTGCAGGGTGACAATGGGCAAATCTTCAAGATGTGAAAAAATTGTGTTTTTCTTATTTTACTTCTAAGTTAAATACTGTGAGTTACTGATCAGCTTCCAAAAGAAATTCGAAAATTCCGCTTTTGCAGATTTCACATTTATTTGCAGAATCTGATACTCTATGATCTGTCGTTCACACTGATATGTGTGTGTGTGCAGGCGGCCCTAGAATTACAGGACATTCAAGCAACAAGTGTTGTACACTCGGGGACTAGAAAATTATAGTGGAAGAGATGCTTCAAGTTATTACCAGTCGTGATTAGATTCAGATGAAGGCCGTTAATGTAATCATTTCACATGATCTCACATCAAAGTTTGCACCATGAGCCGATCTCTGCAAAAGTGTGTCATTTGCTCTTTTCTTCCACGACTTTAATTACTCAGTTCAAATTTATTATTATTCTATTTCGGTAAATTTCAAGCCATTATCAAAATCTGCTTCAGGACGATCTAAACAGGATTTTAATATGGACAAAAGATTTGGGAGATGCAGTTTAATGCGAAAAAATTTAGGTTTTTGGCTCTGGTAATGATAACAGAGGAGGATCTTGATAGAGAAAGCGATCCTTCATGTCATGAGGGACACGCTCCTTCATTTTGAAGGCCGAGCGTGTAGACAAATTAAAGGTACGGCAATTGGCGCGTCCAATAACGTAGCCATTGCCGAAATCTTCCTGCATGTTGCCTTCGAGAAACTAAGAACCCGTAGACCAGATGCTCCATTAATCTACTACAGATATATTGATGAAATCTTTGAGATAAGGAGGGACGAGACCAGATCCTGCAGGCTTTCTTCACATAGGCGAATACAGTTCACACCAATCTGAAGTTTGCGTTAGAACACGACGACTCAATAATTAATTTTCTGGATACTACGGTCTACATAGATCGGACCAGTAGGGGCCTTCAGACGAAAGCATAATACAATCCAACAAATTTACATACCTACCTAAGGATTGACTCGAGTCACCCTCGAACACTCAAGAAATCTCTACCATACTCGCTTGCCCTATGCTTAAAGAGGATAAATAGCACAGAAGAAACCCTGGATCCCCAGCTAAAAAAAATCTGTGGGATGTATTCAGGGAGAAGGGGTACCAAGACGAGATTCTGCACACCGTCCAGGCAAAACTGCAAGGGAAGACAATGACCCAACTCCTGGAACCACTTAGGCCGAGGACTGAGGACAAGAGATGGATACTTCCCACCTGTTTTCTCCAGGCCTAGCAAAACAACTCAAGGAGATGTCGTTAGTCTGGTCTTGGTTAAGGAACCTACTAGGAACACCCCTCGTGGCCAGAATTTCCTAAGGATCCACTTATGATCGCATGGAAAAGAGATAAATCGTTGGGAGACCATCTAGTTAGAGCGGGCCCCCGCCCATGGGCCTAGCCAAGGTGAACCAGAAAATAAGCAGAGTTATAGATATAACCAAACTAACCTAACCTGATTTAGAAGGGCAACATCCTCCTCCAGTAGTTTTAGATCCCGAGGAGTGGTTAGAAAGGCCCTATATTACTCAGCGGATCAATATTGAAATAAAGATTTGAAGTCGTGATTAGTAGGGATCTAAAGGCAAAAAATGAATGCATTAATGTTCGGAATGAGGCAAATATGCTCCTGGGAACTAATTTGTAGAAGCGTTGGTAATAAGACACACACTCTGATCACTACGCTTCTACCCTATATTATTCTGACCACTCCCACTTACCGACGCGTTCCTGTTTTTGCAAGAATTACATTCAACAACACCTACATGAACAGGTTTTTCTGTCATACAGTTCGGTAGATGCAGGCTGAATCTTCCTTGTTTTCTTTCACGACCATTAGTTTTATATGTTAGAATGACATTATTTTTAAACAAAAAGCATTTTGGCGTATTGACCTGCCGTTAGTAGCGGGCGGTGGAGCCCAGCAAGATATGCCAAGACCAATCAGCAAGGATATGTACCCCGAGAGTGTACCCCATTTGCAGGTGTACCGTATATACACTGAGAGTGTACGATACGGTCTCACTGAGGGTGAGAGTGTAGTCCTGGACTGTGTACAGTACTAAAGTATAAGAACAAAAGTAACTGCAGAAGGCATATTGGCCCATACGAGGCAGCTCCTATCTATAACCACCCAATCCCACTCATATACATGTCTAACCCACTCTTGAAACAATCGAGGGACCCCACCACCACCCTGTTACACGGTAATTCGTTCCACAAATCAACAACCCTGTTACCGAACCAGTATTTACCCAAGTCTTTCCTAAATCTAAACTTAACCAATTTATATCCATTGTTTCGTTTTCTGTCTTGTGTTGATAATTTTAATACCCTATTATTATTCCCTTTGTTATGTCCATTCATCCACTTGTAAACCTCTATCATGTCACCCCTAACTCTTCGCCTTTCCAGTGAATGCAATTTAAGCTTTGTTAATCTTTCTTCATATGTAAGATTTCTAATTTGGGGAATTAACTTAGTCATCCTACGCTGGACACGTTCAAGTGAATTTATATCCATTCTATAGTACAGCGACCAAAACTGAACTACATAGTCTAAATGGGGCGTAACCAGAGCAAGATATAGCTGAAGAACCACACCAGGTGTCTTGTTACTAACGCTTCGATTAATAAATCCCAGTGTCCTATTTGCCTTATTACGAACATTCATACATTGATCCTTTTGTTTTAAATTCTTACTAATCATAACTCCCAGATCCCTTTCGCAATCCGACTTCGCAATCTCAACACCATTTAGCTCGTATCTTGTAACTCTATCATCATTACCTAGCCTCAGAACTTTACATTTATCAGCATTAAACTGCATCTGCCAATCTTTTGACCACTTAAAAAACTATAAATTGGATAAGTTTAGATTTAGGAACGACCTGGGTAAATACTGGTTTGGAAACACGATTATTGATATTTATAGAAAATTGCTTGGTAAGGAAGTAATCACTGTTTGAAGCGTGCGTTAGACATACATATATGAATGTGTTTGGGTGGATATAAATAGGAGCTTCCTCATATGGGTCAATAGGTCTTCTGCAAATATGATTCTGTAATTATCACACTACAATTTATTCTCTTACTGTGTCTAACCCTTAATCCAAGGATTGAATGTAATAACTAATTTATCCATTCCAAAGTTGTATTGCTGAATGTATACTATGCTTCTCCGATAAATTTCTCTTTCAATTATTTAAGATTTATTTGGAGTCTAATTTTCATCTTTTAAAAATTTTTGCTCTGTTCAGATAAACATTTTAAATGTGCAGTGAAGTAATCTTAACACTTAGACACTGTCACACTACCAGCCTCCATGACAGCGGCTCTTCCCTCAGCACCTTCTCTCCCTCAGGTCTGGCACCTTTTTGGGTGGGCGCCTCTAAACTAAACTACCAGGACTACTGGTCGTGGGTGGATGGACGCCCCGTAGACCTCACGGGTCATTACTGGACAGCCGGATGCCCAACAACTGGCGATGAAGTGAACTGCGTCTTCATGATTTCTGTTGATGAATTCGTCTTGCGAGCGCGATTATATAACGACGTCTGTTATGATATGTGGCCCTTCCTGTGCCAGCTGGGCGTCCAAGCATTGGAATAGATTTGGATATTGTGTCTGCTGAGTCATTAAACTCTATATATTTCAGTACAAAATCTTAACTGTTAGATATATAAAAAAAAGTCTAGAATTTGTACCCAAGGACTATTAACTTGATAACTTATATGTTATATTCTATCAAGAGAGCAGTTTTAAAAATCATATATACAACAAAACGTCAAAAATTAAAAGATAAAGTTTATAATAAATGCGTAAAGTGTTACCAATATTTCAGTTAATAATTGTTGAGGTTATTAATAAACATTAACTACAATGCAATTAACTATTTCTTCAGTCCTGCCTCACCTGCTCAACCCCGCTTGAACACTCACAAGTGAACAAGAACACTACACAGTATAATGTACTTTTATCAAAGCAACAAGTTTGTACTATCGGGAACTTAACCTGAATAAAATTCAATGCCGTCTATTCCTGTCCCGTTTCCTAATAAAAATATTTATTATTAGTAGTAAATCACGTGATTTGGGACTCATATTGTAGTTATGGCGGGTCTACTGCGACAAACTTTGTGGTGGAGCAGAGTAGTCTAAAGGGTGACACAGAATTTGTTTTGGCAGCAATTAGGCTGTGTCATCCCCCCCCCCCATCCTGTTCAACATGGCGTTCCAAAAAGTGAACAAAGTTTTTGTCATGTTAGGTTAGGGCACTGGTTGGATTGGTGTTGTGATTTGGGGATTTGCCTAACATGTTTGGCATGGTGAAATTTGTGTTTCAATGGGTGTGTATGTTGGAAGTGTGTTTGGGTGGATAATACACGCATATTTAAAAAAAATGAGAATGAAGTGTAGGATATTGACCAATCCACACACTAGAAAATGAAGGAACGAAGACGTTTCGGTCCGTTCTGGACCATTCTCAAGTCAATTGTGACTTGAGAATGGTCCAGGACGGATCGAAACGTCGTTGTTGCTGTTGTTTCAGATTTAGCTACTTAGAACGAGGTGTCCATGTAGCACGGGCTATGGTGAGCCCGTAGATGAGTTTGGTTATACGCGATAACCTTGTTTCTGTGATATTTGGGTCTAAGTTTAAAATGGAGGAGAGGACTTCTCCTTTTTCCCTGCTTATTTGTCGCTTCTGTTTTATTGCACTGGTTTTAATCTTGTTTTATTAATATTATCTTGGTGGCGGATGTAGATGCAGAATGGTCACTAATGAGTCCCGTTCCTCAACAGCTTTTCTAATCATTGTAGTCGCGGTGGTATGTGCATCTAATGCAGCTGCTGTCGTTGGATTAATATTGAGTTTGATGCGCAGGGCTTCAGTAGCTTCACATTCCAGTAAGTAGTGCAATAGCGGCGCCTCCGCTTCAGTTTCACAGATGTGACACTCTTTAGCTATAGGGTTCATTACCTCCCAGCAGCACTTGTAACCAAGTCTGAGTCTGTGTATGGCTATTGCAATGTCTCTGGATATATTTTTGCCAGGCTTGAAAGAGGAGTAACCAGTGGCTTGTTCGTATCATATCGCAGTGGATCTTCCTTCCGATACTTTGGCTCTGTGGCGACTTTTGATAGTTGAGAATATTTTCTTCTTGATTTGCTCCTTTATCTGTGAGAAACTTGAAGGTATTTGAACCTGCAAACAGGTAGAGCAGTGGCAGTTTTTGCTAGTGAGTCTGCCTTTTCATTACCATCTATGCCAATGTGACTTGGTATCCAATTTAGGGTGATTGACAGCCCTCGATTATGGGCTTCTTTTCCTATATGTTGAATTTCTGTGAGGAGTTGTATATTATCTCTATGCTGACTGGATAACAATGCCTGGAGCGAAGATTTAGAGTCGGTATGAATGATGACATCCTGTAAATTATTCTCAATTGTATAGTTTATTGCCTCCTTCAGGGCATATAATTCTGTTACCAAAACGTCATCGTCCCTTCATTTTCTAGTGTGTAAATATATTTCAGCCACGTTATTGTGACTCATCGCCTGCGAAGTGTAGGATAATTCATCGCTAGAGCCCGGAAGGAGAGCCATGACCCCGACGAAATATAATGACACACGATCAATATGAGAGCATATATTCTGGATGTATAGGGCTAACTGCGATAAACAGTCGTTATTTAAAACTGCAGTCAGTAAAGTTTTTGTTTTCTTTAATACAAATAGCAATGCGGTATTTTTATAGTTACAAGCGTATCATATTTATATTTTCGGGTATAAACGTGTTTTAATGTCGACGAATAGCACCGTACAATGGCAATCTTCGTTGTAAAATGTCAATATATTGGGATAGTTAAACTTTTTTAAAATGCAAAAATGCTGTTCACATTAGTAGCCTTAGTCATTTTGTGTGGGGTAGAGCCTACGATCTTATATCTTCGCAATTGTATTGCTATATTAAATTAATATAGTGTTGTGTTTTATTCTGAACAGTTAAATATATATATCTGGAATCTGTGCATATTCCTTATTAAACTGTATATTTTTTATCACAATTGTAATAGATATTGTGGTGGGGGCCCCCCAATGAACTTATAATAACTATTGAGAGGATGATTTAATTTAGCACATTTCAATAGTCTAATTGGAGAAGCTGCATGCATCTCCGAAACTCTATATATCTCCAATACTCTGCAAGTACAAATTAAAATCATTATTATCTCAGTAATAGTATTTCTGGTGGGGCCGTGTGAAATAAGTTCCCCCTAGGGTTTTATAAACCCATGGAATCTCTTACTTGCCGAAGCCGTAAATGCCAAAAAGCTCTGCTGGGCTTTAGAAAAACAACTTAAAAGATCATCAGGGCAATAGAGGAACCTCGGGGCAAGTCACCGGCTTCCTGTCCTCGTCGAAGTTATTAGTATCAGTGAGCCCACAGGTGTTAAAATATAAATAATAATTATATGGAACCGCCTACCCGCCGAAGCTGTAAAAAAAAATCCTAAACTCTGCCAGCTAGGGTTTTAAAAATACCGCTAGAAAAGATCATCAGGGCAAATGGAGGGACCTTAGATAAGCCGCCGTCTATCCTCGTCGAGGCCACTAGTATTTGTGAGCCCTCAGGCAAGTAAGTAATTATCAGAAGAAGGCACCAAACCGGGAAGGCCATGTAGCACCATCAAAGGTGCGGAATAATCAGAGGGCGCTAAATATCACCAAGGATGCCAATACGAGAACACAAATGCGTAAGGCGAACGAAATCAAAAGTATCCGATTCACCAAAAATTCTATCGAGGGACAAGTGACCGTGAGGGACGGTCGGAAAGCAAGACACATGCTCGTCCTGGAAGTCAGGACATTCAACAAGAATATGCACGACCATAAGAGGGACAATGCAATTTGGACAATAAAGAGCAGGGCGGTGCTCAATTAAGTGACCGTGAGTTAAGCGTGTATGGCCAGTACGCAACCTCGCCAGAGCCGCTTCCCATCGCCGGTTACGGTAGTACAAGGAAGGTCATGAGGACACACTACTCTTAAGAGTACGCAGTTTTTTACCAGTAACAGAAGACCAACAATCCTGCCAACGGGTAAGTTTGGAGGAATGAATAACTGGGTAAAAGTTGGAATAAGGAATACCTTTACAGGAGATGGAACAAGAGCGGACAGCTTCCCTAGCGGCAGCGTCCGCACGCTCATTTAAAGTGACACCAATATGGCTGAGAACCCAGCAAAACTCAACTGACTTAAATTTACTGATAAGAAGAAACAGCCAATGTTGAATCTCCACGACCACTGGATGGACCGGATTAAAGGACCCGAGAGCCCTGAGGCCACGACGAGAGTCAACGACAACCACAAAGGAAGATTGACAATGAGAAAGCAGAAGACGAAGAGTATAGAGAATAGCATAACGTTCTGCTGTGAAGATGCTAGTCTCCGGAGGTAGGCAACACACATAAGTGCGGTCAAGAAAACCAACTTAGTAGCCTGCACCATCCGCAGACTTAGACCCATCGGTGAAGATGGAAACAGAGCGGGAGTGTGAAGAGAAGTGTTCAAGGAAAAGGTGTTTCAGAACCGTAGAAGGGGTAAAAGCTTTAGTGATGCGGGTCAAGGATGTACAAAACATCGGAAGGGGAACTCTCCATGGGGGCAAGGAAGGAACAATACGAGAAGAAATATTAGAAATACGAACTAAAAGAGAATCCTGTAAGCAAGAGTACCGGACAGAAAGAGGGAGGGGGTGAAGTGGAACAGGAATCACAGGAGGGGTAAAAGTTAAAGCAAGACAGAGGCATGAGGAAGGATGTTGCATGGACCGCGCAAGATAGCAAAGACAGTAGCAAGCACGGCGGCCCTGGAGAGATCGGAAGCCAGTGTCAACATACAAGCTGAGGGCGGGAGTCAAACGAAAGGCACCAGAGCTGAGCCGCAACCCAGTATGGTGCAAAGCATCAAGACGGCGAAGAGTAGAAAGAGAAGCAGACGAGTAAGCAGGGCAACCATAATTGAGTTAAGACAGGACGAGTGAGGAATGTAAAGCGAGGAGAGTGCGCCTATCTACACCCCAAGAAGTATTGGACAAAACCTCAAGGTGGGTAAGGACCTTAGAGCATTCAACTCGGAGGTAAGAGATATGGGGCGACCAAGACAAACGAGTGTCAAAGATTAACCCCAAAAGCTTAGCAGAATCCTTGTACACAAGAGAATGGCCATAAAGTGATAACGTGGGATGAAGAACGACATGCTTCCGAATAAAAGTCATAGCACAAGTCGTAGACATAGAGAACCTGAAGCCATGATCAGTGGCCCAAGACGACACAGCATCAATCGCAAGTTGAAGCCACCGTTGAAGGACAGGTGAATCATCACCCCGACAGCAAATGGTAAGATCAGCGACATAGAGAGCAGAGAAGACGCCAGAAGGAAGACAGGAAAGAAGACCGTTGAGGGCAACCAGGAAAAGAGTAGTGCTCAGAACACTACCTTGGGGCACATCCTCGTATTGCTGAAAAGAGGCAGAGAGAGTGGCATCAAGCCTCACTCGAAAGGATCGACGAGAGAGGAAGCTTTGTAGAAAGAGAGGGAGATTACCACGAAGGCCAAAAGAATGAAGTTGGGACAGAATATGATATCGCCAGGTGGTGACGTAAGCCTTTTCCAGGTCAAAAAAGACGGGAACAACGGACTTCTTCGCAGCAAAAGCAGTACGAATATAGACCTCCAAGTTCACCAGGACATCTGTTGTGCTGCGGCACTTGCGGAAACCAAATTGAGAAGGGGAGTGGTGGTGATAGTGTTCCAAGAACCACATTAGACGAACCATACGTTCAAAGAGTTTGCAGACACAACTCGTGAGGGCAATAGGGCAGAAGACCTCAGGAGGATGTCCCGAGAGATCCTTGTTTCCGAACAGAGAGGATAACGGCATCGAGCCAGTCCTCAGGGACTGACGACGACTCCCAGACCCGATTACACAGACTCAGTAAATACTGAAACGTGCACGGAGGGAGATGGCGAAGCATCTCATAATGAATGCCATCGGAGCCCGCCGCCGAAGAACCGCAGAGGGCCAGGGCAGACTGAAGTTCGGAGAGAGAGAGAAGGGATCGTTATAGCGAAGTCTGAGATTGGTGCAAAAATCTAAAGGACGAGATTCAAGAAAAGGTTTACGAAGAAGGAATGATCGAGGAAGATGAGAACCAGAGCTAATAGAAGAAAAGTGAGAACCCAGTTCGGTCATGACCTGCAACGGGTCCGCCACAAGAGTACCACGGAGGTGAAGGACCGGCGAGACATCGGGAACGAACTTACCCCGCTATATCTTGCGGATACGCTTCCAGATCTGCGGCAAAGGAGTTTCGGACGTAATGGTGGAAACATAAGACTTCCAACACTCACGCTTAGCTGTACAGATGGCCCTACAGGCCACTACACTCGCGTTCAGAAACAAAAGAAAAGAATCAGCCGTCTGCCGGCAGCAGAGTGCAGGGTGCATGCTTACAGCGAACAGCCCGAGCACAGTTCACATTCCACCAGAGAACGGACTTCGTGGTTCCCGAGAGGAAGAGCGAGGAATAGAGCGGAGGGTAGTGTCAAAGATGGTGTCATGAAAAAGGAGGAGGGCACGAGGGAGAGGCAGAATGGAGAGGTAGGAGAGAGCAGCACGGAGGGTAAATAGGTTCCAGTCTGCCATGGCAAACTGCCACCTAGGGAAGGAGAGGGGAGGGTGAAAAAGAGAAAAAGGTAACAAGGATAGGGAAATGGTCACTGCCATGGAGATCATCAAGAACCTGCCACGTGAAATCCAAGTAAAGAGACGACGAGCAAAAGAGAAAGATCAAGACAGGAAAGGGTGCAAGGCCGAGAGTACAAATGAGTGGGCTCATTTGCCTTCTCACCTGCAGAGGAGGAGGAAGGAGATGAGCCAGGCTTTCGCTTCTGACTCAAAGAGACAGGTGTCCAAGCAACAACGTACTGGGCAACAGACTCGAGCGTCTCAACAGGAGAAGCAGAACGAGAGCAAACAATACGATGACCGCTGGGAGTGTGATGGACATCAGCCCGCAAAGACAGGCGGTGTGTAGAGCTAAGAGACGGAGGAGGAGGATCGGAGGGAGACGAGAAAGAAGACACAGGAGACATGACACACTGAGTAGAAAGAAGGGTAACCCCGGACAGAGAACCTATGAGGGAGACCCTTCGGTACAGAACGTAAAGGAACAGAGGAGGAGGTGGTGGGCGTGACTGGGTCTAAGGCCTGGAAACGATTGCGATACTGAGGAAGGAGGGAAGGTCGAGGAGAGGAAGAGAGCAACACGCAAGCGTAAGAGACACCAGCGAAAGAGGGGAGACGGCGAACTTGGCACCTCGTCTCAGGAAAAGACAAACGTTCCCGGTGCTTCAAGGTGAGGACGGCTGCCTCAAGTTTGTAATGTACACGCACACGGGAGAAGGTAGGTTGGGTCTCACCACAATTGAGGAAGCAAGCCCGAGGAAAAGTGCACTCCGACTTAGAGTGACCTTCGTCCCCACACATGGGACAGAGAGAGACAGTACTGGAGCATCAGAGGGCACCATGCCCAAACCTCCAGCACTAATTACAGAGCCGAGGAGAGGGAATGTGCCCCTGGACGGAGCACCTGGCGCCAGCAAGAATGACAGAGGGCGGAAGAGTCCTACCATCAAAGGTAATCTTCACAACCCGAAGGGGCTGACGGCGACGAACACGAGGGTGATGAGTAAACGTGTCCACCTGGAGGACAGAATGGCCGTGGGCTTTGAGGATATGCCGAATATCTTCGTGGCAGTCCTGTAGATTCCAAACACCGGTTGCAACATGGGGTGAGAGGAGATCAGTGCCAACATTGGCATTCAACTGAGCGTCCTTGGAGACCTGAACAGGGGTCTCGCCAAGCAGGTTAAGGCGACCAGGCGGGTGATTACATCCTAAGAAGGAGCAGCAACGACACGTGTACCGAGACGGGTGGGGTTGAGAGTAACAGAGGCATCTACTGAATCAACAAGGTGTC